GCGGTCGGTCTGGATGCAGAGCTCTTCAGCCTGACAGCACAGCTTGGAACTGGTGGAGTCCTTGTGCCCAGGGCCACCCCCAGCCCCTGGAGCTCAGGGCCTGCCCTGCACGTTGGCTGATGGGGAGGGGGCTGCTGGTGCCTCTTGGTTTTGCAGATGCAAATTGCTTTGATGCCGTCCTGATCTCCAATGCCAAACTGAGCCACCCGACCACGACCCGTCCCAAAATGCCAGGCAGGAAGCCTCCCAGCCAGCTGCCCGCTAGCTCTCCGGTGAGTGCCTGGGCAGCACCCCTCGCTGGGGGTGGGTGGGGAAGGGTTGGACTCGCTGGGCTGGGTGGGCACGCTCCTTGTGCTGCATTTGCTGCCCACCGCTTCTCTGCTGCAATTGCCTTGTGTCCGGAGGGTGAGTGGCTCTAACCGCTCTGTGTCACTCCCCAAACAGCAGCGTCCTGTGCTGGGGAGGAGTGTCCTACCTCCACCCAGTGCTCCTTCTGAGCTGACGGGCTGCCGCGTGCTCGGCACCGGGGCGGGGACCCTGGCCTTGGCACCAACCGGTTTTAAAGGTGCTGGGTAGTTTGGACCTGAAATAATGGGCCAGTGCCAGGCTTGGCCCATGGGAGCAGGGTCTGGTGAAGCGAGCGAGTGTAGACTGCAGGGTGTAGACCCAACCCCAAGCACAGGCAGAGCGCCATAAACCCCCCTAGGAGCCCCACATGCCGGCAGAGTGGCACAGTGGGTAGCAGGAGTCACCGTCTCTGGTATCGGCCACCCTGCAGGCTACTGCCCTGGCCCTGCTGTGCCCCAGGGCTGGGCTCCCGGAGGGGTGGGTCCCAGGCTCTGTCCCGGGAGCCCTGCAGGAGATCCCGTAGGAGGAACCGGAGGGGGGAGAAGGGGTGATGCACCTGGGTGCTGGGGAGAGGGAGGAGGAGAAGCAGAAGAGCAGAGTGCCACCTCGCTGCCAGTTGACAGGTTAAATCCACGTCTCTCCAAGGGTTATGCCTATGTGGAGTCATGGCAGGGACGGGAGCGAGTGTGTTGGGCAGCCAGGGCGGGGGCCACTTCCCTGGTGCTGCGCTCAGGTCAGGGGAGCTGACCCCATGCCGGCCCCTCCCCTCCCGTCTGGGGAGCCGGCACGTGGGCTGGTGCTCCGAGAGCTGGGGAGAAGCTGCCGCATGGGCAGCGCGGGGGCCAGCTCCATGCACCTGGCAAGGGTTTGCCCGTGTCTGGCCCTGCCCGGCAAGGAGCACCCACTTGGCCTGTGAGCTGAGGGGGCCAGGTAGCACCAGTGGGGAGATGGGTGCTGGAGACCTGCTGCGTTCCCTGAGGTGCTCTTCCTAGGGGAACGCCCGCCCGGTGCCCGTAGCTCTGGGACTGCTAGGTGGGGGGGCCCAGCTGTGGGACTCCCTAGTTGCAAAGTGACTGGCTTTCCCTGCCCGTGCTGGGAGTGTTTCCCATCGGTTCTGCTCCTGCAGGATGTGAAGGCGCCTCTGCTCCCAGCCAAGAGCAGCGCCCAGGCCAGGGAGCTGCAGCCCCTGGAGAGCCTGGGCGACCCCCCCAAGGCGCAGGAGAAGCTGTCCCTGGAGGAACTGGTGGCCGAGCTCCGGTCCCTGCGCATCCTGATGGACCTGATGAGGGTGCAGCACCAGTGAGTGGGGCTGGGGGTGGGGGAGCTGGGGGCTGTTGGAGCCCTGGCAGGGGCTGACCCCAGTGGCTGAGACGGCCAGCCAGAGCACCCCGAGTCGCCCGCTGCATGCAGCGTTCCCCATCCCCAGGGGACAGCGCAAGACTCTGCTTCCTAGCTGTGCTTGGAGCTGCCTCTCTCCTGGGCTGGGGCTTGGGGGCAACTGCCTACAGCAGCCTCAGCCCTGGCCTGGCCTGCCAGCCCGTGTGCACGTCAACCCTGGTGGGCAGTGTCCCATCCAGGGCCGGTGACCCCCGGGCGGGGCAGGCCTGGTGCCAGCCCTGGCCGAGAGCCCTGTGGCCAGCGTCTCGGAGCAGCACGGGCTGGTCATGTCTGTGTGACCCGGTAGAGCAGTGAATCGGCCCAGGGTGCCGTGGCTGGAGGGGGAATGAGGTCTGAGTGCCTGCTCTGTTTGTACGCAATCCCCTGGCCTTGGGGAGATCGAGGTTTGGCGCTGAACTTCATGGGAGGCCCTGCATGAGAAGCAGCGGCCTGCAGAGCTGGGTGCTCCTGGGGTGACTTCTTGGAGCTGGCCGAGGTTCTGGCCCTGAGCCCCAGCCCCCGGATCCCCGGAGAGCCAGCTCTGTGCACTGCCCTTTGCAGGAAGGACATGGAGGAGCTCAAGATGGCAATCAAGGAGGAGCAGGCCAAGCGTATGGTGCTGCAGGTGAGAGCCGCTGGGGATGCGGTGCTGCATGGGAAATTCACGGGGGGTTGCCCCAGCCCCTCCCTCACTGGGATCTCACAAACCCAAGGCTTGTCGTTGGGGTGGTACCCCCCTGAACCCCAACTCCCATGCTGCTGCTGCAGGGTATTCTGTGATAGCAGCATGTCTGTCAGTGAAATCCCCCTGGCCTCCACCCATGGGGCAGGGTGTGGGTCAGAGCGGGAGCTGGCGCTTGGAGTTGGATCTAGAAGGATTAACAGCTGAGCCTGTGGTGGGGGGGGTAACCGAGTGTTCGTTGTGTGGTGCCCGGATGCCACATGGATGGGCACTGGCTGAAGAGCGACTCTTGGTCATGGTGACCCTGTCTCCTCCTGCACTTTCCCATCGGTAACCTGGGGCCTGGGTGCCTGGCTGCTCTCTACCGAGAACTCAGGGGTGCCCGTTCCGAGCGACAGGCAGGCGCTCTGCCTGGGCAGCGCAGGGAGAGGGGCTGGAGTTTGCCCTGGTTCCCTTTGCTCCCACTCATCTCTCCTTTGCAGGTGGAAATCGAGAGCATGAAGCAGATGCCTGCCCTCGAGGGAGCAGGAGCGGCTGGGCCGGGCAGTGAACTGGAGGTACTGCCGGCCACGCTGTGACGTCCACTGTGCAGAGGCCTCGCTCTGCAAACTCTGCTGGGGCCGTTAAACTTGCAAGAGAATCACTGGCCATTGATTCCTCTTGGTGTCTGTTCACCCCGAGGCCAGCTCCCTGCCCCGGGGAGTGGGGAGAAGGCCCAGAGCCCCTCCAGCTCATCTCCTGCTGCGTCTGCTCACTGGGCCCTCCCTCGGGGGAAGCACTGTGAGGGGCTCTGGGCCACGCAGCCCCCTGAGCGCTGTGCTGGGGTGCAGCCCTGGGCCCGCTGGGCTGACCCTCTGGGGGATGCTGGTTTTGTGATGGGCAGCACAGGGCACCTGGGGGCTGCCTGGGGAGTTAGCGATGCCCTAGCAGGACCAGAGTGCAAATGCTGGCAGCGCACAGGCCTGGTCTCGCCGGGAGGGGGTGGGGGGGGGCTGGCTGCTGCCTGGATTTGGGCAGTCATCACCCCCCGAGCCCCATCACCTGCTCAGCTCCGAATGTCCTGCCTGTAGATCAAAGGAGGCCCCTCCGTCCCCCTGCCCCGGGAGAGGCCGCCCCATGTCCCAGCAGCATCTGTCCCTCTCTGGAGATTGGTCCTGAGCTCCTGGCTCTCCTCTTCTGCCCTGCTCTGTCCCAGCCTTGGCGTGTGTGTGTGTGTGTGTGTGTGTGTGTGTGTGTGTACAGCCATCTTTTAGCCCAGCACAACTCTCAAAGCCCATCTGTGACCCTAGCCCTAAAATCTCCCAGGGGGCTGCTGATGCTGACCCCTCCCGGACAAAAATCCCTGTGCTGACTGCCCCCAGCCCTGTGCCGCGCGTCAGCCCTGGGGTCACCTGACCCCGGGTTCTGACTAGACCAGGATAACAGACTTTGGAACAGCTTCGCCCTAGTGCAGACAGCTATCTGCATTGTCCTGCTCAGCTGGTCCTGTGGAGTGAGCTCCCTCCCCCCAGCTAACGCGTTACATCCTGCCCTGTCCGCACTCAGATGTGTTGTCTAAGCTGTCCCTGGGCCAGACGTGGGTGCGGGAACCTCATCCTAGTTAACCTGGGATAACTCGTGCAGGCTGGATCCACGTGTCCCCAGGGTCCCCCACAAGTTGGCGCCACTGCATGTGTCCTGTCTGCACTAGAATCTAATTGTGTTAGTGAGCATGTGTTCAAACATGACCGAGCATTGGGGTCTGTAGAGTGACCCGGCTCTCTGCCAGCCCCCTCCCCATCAGGAGCCCTGGCCGACCCCTCTGGTTCTTCCTATGCCCTTTTAATCCTGAGAACTGGGCGTTTCTCCCTCGCTCTGAGAGCCGCTTCCTGCCGTGCCCACCGGTTCGCTCCTGCTCTGCTTGTCTGACATGGGGGTGGGGCTGGAACAGCTGTGAATGTCCCTCGCCCCCAGGAGCCGCTGTCCCACTGCTGACAGCCTGAAGTTTTAAAAACTATTTTATAAATATGTGTAAAATGTTAATAAACTATTTTTATACAAATCTTAGCTGCTGCCTGGCTGCTGTAGTGTCGACAGCATCTGTGACGTGCAAGGCGCTGTACAGACTTGGGGGGAGAGCCGGTCCCTGACCCGATGAGTTGGAGCAGTCCAGCCATAGGCAAAGGGCTGGGGAGAGGGGTCAGACTGAAAGCCAGGAGCTCGCTGCCGATCAGCAGGTCAGGTTAGCTCCACGCGCTGTATTTCTCAGTCCAGTGGGGCAAGGCCAAGCCAAGGGGCACCATGCACCGCTGCCCCAGGCTGGCATGGGAGGGCAGCTGGCTGGCTCTGGGCTCCTGTCCCCTCCCCCTTCCAGGCATCCCTTCTACCGCCCTCCTTCCCACTGCAGCCTCCCCAAGAAGCTGCTTACTGGATCCTGGCTTGGCAGAGCCCATCTCCTCTATGGTGTCAGCCTGGCCCCCCTGCCCCACAGAGGCCTCACTCCCAGGGGGGCCCACCTGGCATCCTGCCCTTGTTTATCAGCTCGGTGCAGGTCGACACAAGTCTCTCTGCATTCTTGGCAGCCTGCTCGCCTTGGGGCTAGGAGGGCACATCTGGAAAACATCTGGGTCCTGTTACAGCTGGCGGCAGGGGGGCCAGGCCCTGGTGGGAATGAGCTATTTTTATACATTGGGCTGGGGCGGAGGGGGGCTGTGGTCTCAGGCAGGGGAAGGTCTCGCTCTTCTCCCACACACACAAAGGCAGGGTGCCCCGGGTCAGTCCAGCAAAGCCGCGGCCTGGCAGAGGCAGCTCTGGGCTGGCCCGGGCTCAGCACAGCTCCTGCTGTTCGACCCTCCTAAGGCTGGGCTGGGCCAGGCCCTTCGCTGCCCGGAGCCAGCAGGCTGAGTGCTCGGCCCCGGGGTGCCATGTGGCACTGCACCAGCGTGGGCAGGTGGCTCTGGGCTGCTGTGGGATCAGTGCCAGCGGCTGGAAGTGAGAGGCACAGGGGGTCCTTCACGCTGGCCGAGGGGCTAAGGGGGGCCCTCGGGGCGTGTTTACACAGGGCACTGAACGAACAGCAGCACGGGCTGGGGCGCAGAGTGGAGGGCAGCCCCTGGCGCAGGAGGCGGGGGAGGGGACGTAGCTTGCCATGGACTTTGAAAGCAGCCCAAACCCCAGCGAGCTGGGAGCGCCCCCCTAGCCCTGGCTTGTGGCTGGCTGCGCTAACCGCAGTGCGCTGGGCTATCCTGCTGGCAGCCAGCCCAGAACCGGCAGTCGCCGCGCCCCCCCCCCCCCCCAATCCAGGAAGCAGCGAGTGAGTGATGGGGCAAGTCAGATGCTGCCGGAAAGGGACAGCAACTAATTTTAGCAGGAATGCTGGGGCCAGGGGAGGGGAAGGAGCCTGGGAAGGCTTCTCCAGACAGCAGCTCCCACAAGGGGGGGAGGGGGGAGGCTTGGGCTCAGGACCAAGGTTGGGGGGAGGGCAGGTGCAGCTGCTGGGTTGGGGCTCCTAGGTGCCCTGGGGCATCTGCCTGCCAGGGGCACAGGCTCTAATGCCTGGACCCTCACTGCTCCTTGCACCTACTGCCCTCGCGGCTGCTCAAAGGGGTTCTTGCAGCCAGGGAAACTGAGGTGCGGGGGGGGGGGTTGACCCAAGCTGCACAGCAGCTGGGGTGCAGGGGCAAGGATGGAGGCCTGCCAGGGCTGGCCTTACCATGAGGAGAACTGAGGTGGCTGCCTCAGGTGCCAGACTGTGTGTATGTGGGGGCGCCACTAGGACCCAGAATTGAGACCTTTCAAAGTTTTGGCCCAAGCGAGGGGGAAGGGGGCGTCACTTGAGCTCCCCGCCTCAGGTGCCAAAATGTTGTGGGCGGGCCCTGAGGCCTGCCCCCTCGGTGCTGCCAGCCCTGCCCGCCTGCTGCTGCAGGGCAGTGGCCATGCTGGGTTCCACTTCACCACCAGCCAGGTCTCTCTCTCCCCTCCCATTCCCAGCCCACGCAGGCCTGGGTGCTGCCCTGCATTGACTCTGTGCTGGGTGAATCCTGGGGGGGCTGGAACCTGTCTCTGGAGCGCAGGGCTCCCTGCTCTCTTCTGGTGTACTCAGAGGACCAGGCTGCTCCCAGCGGGCAGAGCTGAGCTCCGGGCTGGGGCGCTGCCCGGAGGAGAACAGCCAGGGGCCGGAAGCGGGCTAGCCCCAGATGCCGCAAGAGACCATGCTGCTTTGAGGAAGGGTCCATGCTGTTTATAAAAGCACATTTCAGGGCCAGAGTGCTCTGACCTAGTAGCCGCGAGCTCTGCCTACGTTGTGCTACCCACACTGCCCTGGGGGCACTCCAGAGAAGGGCCCCACACTGGCCAGACTGTCCTTTGGCGGAGCCAGGCACTGCATGCTGCTGGGGGGCTCCCCCACGCTCCTGGGCACAAGCCCCAGTGCCCCTGGCCTGGGCAGAGATGGCCAAATGCTCTGACTGTATTGCCACAATTAACATCCTTTGCAAACCCTGAAGTGAGAGGTCAGGCTTGGTCTAAAACCCCCCCTCTCTCCCCCCC